TCGGTGACCACGGCAGCTGGGGCCCCGGATTCCTCCACGTGTCACATGGGGCGGGAAAGCTCCGCTTCAGAGTTTGGTGGTTTGTTTACAGCAGACTTTGGTACCAGGGACGTAAAGTCTTAGAAACCTCTGCTGTGCAGAAAGTGTATTTCCAACAGTTTGATACCAACTCAGAGCCTTGTTAAACACACACACACACACACACACACACACACAGCCCGGCCTGCGTGGCTCAGGGGTTGAGCGTTGCCCTATGACCCAGGAGGTCATGGTGCGATTCCCGGTCAGGGCACAGGCCCGGGTTGCAGGCACATTCCCAGCGGGGGGCGTGCAGGAGGCAGCTGATCGGTGATTCTCATCATTGATGTCTCTCTCTTTCCCTCTCCCTTCCTCTCTGAAATCAATAAAAATATCATAAAAAGCGAAACAAAAAACCAATAAAACCAGAAAGAAAGCACGTTAGCCCGAGAAGGAGCGACAGTCACGTACTCACACCCGAAACGAGAGATCACGTCTGCTTCCCAGGCTGATGTGCTCTGGTGTTTCCTGTGACGTTTGCTTTCACTCCAAAAGTTCTGGTCCGCAACCCGATTTGATTTCGTGACCCCCGGTGGGCTCTGTTTTGGGGATAACACGTGATCTCACGTCCTCCTGGCTCCAATTGGCCCCTGGAAGTCATGTGACCGTGCGACTGGACGTTTGCTAGAATCTTGTTTTCCCCTTTGGGTGATCAGTTGTAAAGAACCCGAGTGCCTCACTTGCGTTACGTCCTTTTATTGTTCTCCTTAAAACGCGTCTAAAGCTCTGCTTCTTTCCTCTTCTCTCTCTCTCCTGATCTCAAGAAACATTTCCACGCGGTGACTGCTGCCAACAGGTTAAGGAAATTTCCCACTTGCCCCTGACCCTGGACTGGACGCCGCTGCCCCTGGGCTGAGCCGTTCCGGGGGGCCGCGGGGATGCCGGGAGGCTGTAGATGACCCGGCCTCTGGCTCAGACGGATTCCAGGAACTTTGTGAGAGGTTCTGGCCGGGCCTTCCCTGGGGGTGACACGTGGCTGGAAGAAAGCGACCTCAGGACTGTTTCGCTGCCGTGGGATCCCGCTGGTGTGAAATGCTGTTTACTCGTCAGGGGCACCCGCTTTGGGGGGCGCGTGTGGGGAGGGAACGGCGTGCAGGTGGCGGGTGGGATGCGGAGCGCGCTCTGATTCAGGGACTCGCTCAGGGACCCAGGCCGCGGATCGCCCTGGGCACAGGGAAGTCCTGCTGCTCTGGTCCCCGGGGCTGGGCCAGGCTGTGTTTATTGTCCGACCGACCCGCGCTGTGTGCAGCCATCCTCTAACATGGTTTAACGTGTGCTCCCTTTTGAGAATGGAAACGGGCATCCTTTGTTAGTCTTTGAAATTTTGAAATATACTGACCGTCATGGCTGAAAGAGGACAAGGGTCAAGTGGAATGCGCTTACTGTTTTTATTGATTTTAGAGAGAGAAGAAGGAAGTGGGATAGAGAGAGAGTAACATCAATTGGCTGGCCCTAGTCGGTTTGGCTCAGTGGATAGCGAGTCAGCCCTTGGACTGAGGGTCCCGGGTTCGATTCCGGTCAAGGGCATGTACCTTGGTTGCAAGTTCAGTCCCAACCCTGGTCGGGCCGCATGCAGGAGGCAACCAATAGATGTGTTTTTCTCACCTCGATGTTTCTCTGTCTCTCTCTCACTTCCACTCTCTCTACAAATCAGTGGAAAAATATCCTCAGGTGAGGACTAACAATAAAATAAAATAATAATAATAAAAAGAAACGTCAGTTGGCTGCCTCCTGCAGGCCCCCTACAGGGGATTGAGCCCACAGCCCGGGCATGTGTTTTGACCTCTGGGTTCATGGGTCGATGGTCAGTCACGGAGCCACAGGGGCGGGTTGGAATGTGCTTTTAAAGTCTCTACCCCCTCCCCCCTCTCCTGTTCTGCCCTGTGCTGACCTCTGCCGTCTCCCTCCTGACCCCACCCCTCAGGTATGAATGGGGGCCAGGAAACTGGTGAGTGTGTGGGAGAGGAGAGTGCGGCCGTGTTCCGCTGCGGAGAGAAGCGAAGGCACACGTTTAACCGACTATGGAATGACAAGCAGGAGACGCTGTTAGTCAAAAGCAAACAGTCCTTTGCCCTCCTCACTTCTAACCTGCTTCGTGCTGTTCCCACGACCTCTCGGGTCGGCGGTTCTGGTTGGAGGCGTTGCTGTGAGCTGTTAATTAGCCCAGCAGCAGTGTCACAGCCTTGGAGGGTTTTTGTCCGGGGCGTGGGGAGGGGCCTGGTCTGGCCGGGAACTAAGGTTCCCAAGGCCGGCATGTCCGGGCCTGCTGCCCGCTGGCCAGGGGGTGACCGTCGGAAGAGGAGACCTGCCTCGCATGACGCAGGAACAGGGACTCACCTGGTCAGGTGCTGGCTTTTGAAGCAGCAGTCACCTCTCTGAGATGTTGTTTCGAGGGCAGCCTGCAGAGGGCGCCCTAGAGCACACCTGTCAGTGCTAGTGGGTCTGTGGTCCTCAGTCCCTGGGCCGGCGGCTTCTTGGCGATGCTCCCAATCTTGTCCCCAGAACAACGCAGTGAGTTCCCGGGATCTACAGCAGCGAAGTCTCCCAGAAGTTTAACACGAGCCACACTTAACGGCGACATTTCTCACAGCTCCTTTCAAAGGGAAAACCCGGTGAAAGGAATTTCAGCGACTTACTGAACACAACACATCGAAAGTGTTACCTGGTATGTGGTCAACAGAAACATGATTGCTGAGGTCCTTCAGATGATTTTTTTCCTAAGTCTCCACAGTGCGGTGTAGGGGTCACACTGAAACACATTTCTGTTCCAGGCTGGGTTTCCATCAGACCTACCGAATGTGTGTTTAGATTTCATAACACTCACTGTGACATTTAATTAAAATGAACTTAGGAATTTTCTGTAGTTGTCTTAGCTAAATCTAAGTGCTCAATAGCCACGTGTGGTTAGCGGCTTCTGTATCGGACAGGGCAAATAGAGAATCTTTTATCTACCAAATTTTATTTTTCTCCCATATGCTGTTTTTTAAAAAAATATACTTTTTATTGATTTGAGAGAGGGAGAGGGATACAGATAAACATCAATCTGCTGCCTCCTGCACGCCCCCTAGTGGGGATCAAGCCTGCAGCCCAGGCATGTGATGTGCTCTGACCAGGAATCAACCATGACCTCTGGGTTCATGTGTCGATGCTCAACCACGGAGCCCAGGGGCTGGGCTGCTGTTATTTTTACCCGAAACAATCCCTCTCCAGAGTCCCCTGGAAGCTCACACCCGTGAGAGGGACTATGGATTTTCGCCTCCCTTATCTGATGTTCTGAAGCCTTTATGAACCTTTCATTTTCCTGGATTATTTTTAGTTCTCTACTTGGTTGGTGTGTGTACTTAGCTGAAGAATTCCTGCCCTAGGGGGCATCTGGACAAGGGTGCTTTGAGGCAAATTTAAGAAGTAACCAAGTACCTACTGCGATCCACATAATCAAAATAATTACCACCATGTACTACAAATTTATTGATTTCAGAGAAGGGAGAGGGAGAGATAGAAACATCAATGAAGAGAATCATTTATCTGCCCTAGCTGGTTTGGCTCAGTGGATAGAGTGTCCACCTGGGACTGAAGGGTCCTGGGTTTGATATTGGTCAGGGCACATGCCTGGGTTGTGCGCTCGATCCCCAGAAGGGGGCGTGCAGGAGGCAGCTGATCAATGATTCTCATCACTGATGTTTCTACTACTATTTCTCTCTCCCCCTCTCCCTTCCTCTCTGAAATCAAAATGTTTGAAAAAGAAAAAAAGAATAATTTATCGGCTGCCTCCTGTACTGGGCATCAAACCCACAACCCGAGAATGTGCCCTGACCGGGAATCAAACTGTGACCTCCTGGTTCATAGGTCGCCGCTCAATCACTGAGCCACACCAGCCAGACCTCTGGGTCTTAATTTTAGTTAAAATCATGTCTGATTTTATGTGTGATAACTGAGAGCCCATAGCAACCAACCTATCTTCATTGAGGCCCTTTCCCTGTGGTTTAAAGTAAACCTAATGAGGTTATGATTTTCAGTGTGTGGATAACCAAGGAAACAAACCTTGTCCATTTGACTTTTCAGTGGTGGGAGCGTGTATGCATTGTGGGAGAGTGCTGTGCTTCTCTGTTGTGATATTTACCGAACACTCCCTCACAGCAGGCCCTGTGCTAAGTGCTTTCCGCTCCTCCAAGTGAGCGGACGAGTGTGTTCACGGTTCCACGGGGAGCGGCGGAGGCGGGTGGGGCCCAGGCAGCCTGACGCTGGAGTCGGCTCAGCATCCGCCTCCTGGGCTTCTTTCCTGCCACAGGGGACAGCAAGGGGCCCCCCCTGATGATAAAGGCAACGTGAATACATAAAAATAGTATTTATTAACTTAGGCTGCACCTAGATGGATCTAGTCAATCCAAGAAACTAGACAAAAACTTAAGTAAAACCTGTAACTCCATCGGCCTGACTTATCTAGGCCAGGAGAGCAGACTTGGAGTGAACGGCTCCAGTTCCACGTGCAGGGTGAGGCCAGGGGGGCCCAGGCCGTGCCAGCCGGGGCTGTGGCTGATCTGGTGAACGTTGCCCACGCCGGGGGCCAGCCTGCTGCCCGGAACAGCCCGGGCTGGTGCCCTGCCGCTACGGCGCGGTCCGAGGGTCCTGTCCTAAACGCGGAAGCAGCACCCCGGGCACTGGCACCTTTACTGGTGCAGGCACGCGGCACTCACTCCGCCCCCGCCTCCTGTGCTCTGGCAGCGTTTTCCAGAATCTTCCTTTTCCACTCTTCGTAATCCAGCGCCGGGTCTTCACTGCTTTGTGGTTTAGGTGGGACCTCTTCCACCTTCTCTCTTTCTGCGAGAGAAAATTTCCAAAGCGTTTCAAAGTCTTACGTTTACAAATGACCTCAGAAGAAAGTAAGCTTCTTTCAAGTGTCCACTGTTAGGGTCACAGGGAACGTGACCCTGACTGGAACGTGACCCTGACTGGAATCAAAGTGGGAGGCAGCAGCTCACACACCGGATTTTTGCTCCAAGCGTCCCAGACACCCTGCCACGCGCTCACCTTGTGCCTGACAGGCACCGAAGCCGCACCACCTCCTTCAACCCTCAGGGCAACGCTAGGAGTGGGTGCCGATACTAACGACCTTCATCGCTTTGGAAATTAAGTGACGTCCCTAAACCACAGCCAGGCGGCGGCAAGGCCGGATTGGAGGCCACGCTGTCTGGCGGCAGCTGTGCCCTCATGGACCCGATGCCCGTTAGGCGTGTAACCTAGCAGCAGGGCGCTCGCCGCAGTAAACCCCGTCCGTCCGTCGGAGTTAGTGCCTTACCCGTTCCCGGAGCTCCATCCTCCGTCTTCCGTCTCTTCTGGGGCGGGGAGCCGGCATCTCGAGGCTGTCCTTCAAGAAAGAAGTGTCATCAGGTTAACTTTCTCCTATTCTCAATGTCAGCATTTGGGCATATTAAAAATTTAATGTGTTTATTGATTTCAGAGAGGAAGGAAGTGGGGGAGAAAGAAACATCAATGATGAGAGAGAATCATGGATTGGCTGCCCCCTACTGGGGATGGAGCCTGCAACCCAGGCACATGCCCTGACCGGGAATCAAACCAGCGACCTCCTGGTTCATAGGTAGATGCTCAACCACAGAGCCACACTGGCCAGGCTTGGGGCATTTTTTGGATGACAAATCAAACCCCGATTCCTCGCCTGATCAACTACTAGGAGTAGGGAGAAGGCAGCGAGCTTGCCCTGGTCTCTTCTCGGGCTTCTCGCCAGACCTGCGACCCCTGCTCTTCCAGCTCCCGTGTGCGGGCCGGAAGCTCGAGTGTGCGGGCCGGAAGCTCCAGTGTGGGGCCGGACTCCAACATGAAGCACGTGCAGAGACTCCCCGTGCAGGTGGACTCAGAGAGTCACAGGCTTTTGAAGTCACTGAGCTACTTTAACTGAACAACAGAATAAACAACTTCCTCGCTGAAACGGGTCTGGAGCAGATTAACGCAGAATTCAGAGAGCAGCCGCTTCGCAAGGTGAAAACCCTGCGCTTTGGCCGCAGGTTTATGTTCCCACACGACACACCCTGAGCCTCGGAACTGCTACTCACGGTCTGTCTGCTGCCCGATCTTCTCTAACTGTTTACACAGCCGGTCAAATATGGCTTTCTTTACACCGGACGTGGCTACCATTTTACTTTTATCCACCTTCAGCTTTAAAATCCTACAAAGAAAATTGATAAATTATTGTTCTGCAGACCAGTACAGTTGTTTGAAGATATTTTTAAACTATAAATATGTATTTTTATTGACTTCAGGGAGGATTTCAAGCCCGCAACCCAGGTATGTGCTCTGACTGGTTCATAGAACCGTGACCTCCTGGTTCATAGGTTAACGTTCAACCACTGAGCCACGCCGGCCGGGCCAGGGCGGACTGTTCTGGATGTGCAGACACACTTACTTGCACGCCGTGAGCAGCGCGGCGGTGGTGAACAGCGGCCTGGACAAGTCGAGGTCCGCTTGCTGTGTCTGTGGAAGGCTGGACTCGTAGCTGAGGGAGAGCAGTGTTGGCAGAATTCCTCGTTAGAAAATAGTGTTTCGAGGGGACTGGGGATGCAAATCAGGTGTAAAGGCTACTTAAATGTGAGATACGCATTCCGTCACTTCAGCATCCTGGTGCCTTTAGCACTGGAAGCTGTGCGCACAGAACTCTGGATGGCTTTGCTTTACGGATCAGCATTCATTTTCAGCCCAGGCCCTTTCCACCTCCTACCTTTGCAGCATCTGCGCAGCCAAGTTCACGGCCTCCGTGCAGCTAAACTGGACGGCCAGGTCTTGTATCCCGACACTGGAGTTCAGGCCCAGCAAACACTCGAAAGACTTGAGGCAGCTCTGGTACGTCTTCTGGTTCACACCGGAAAGCTTAGCTGCATACGCCTTCGAAAGGGAAGCACACACACGTCCTAAGTCCTACACACGAGGGACCGTGTCGGGGAGAGCTAAGGGGCTCTCGAGGCGCTCACACCTCAGAAAGGCGGCCGGGCACACGCAGGCAAGTCGCAGAGCAGCCGTGTCACTACAGCCGAGCTGCCGGAACACAGCGGCTGCAAGTACAGTCGCCCATGTTTCAACAAGGGTGCTAACGTGCAATTCCCGGGGACAGGGAGGGGAGTCTGGGGAGGGGAGAGGTGTGTGGAGGGACAGGGAGAGAAGAGGGGAACCAGGAGAGGGACCGGCTCTGCCTGGGGGCGTCCTCACAAAGGGGGTCCCAGCAAGGCGGCCATGGAGGTCCAACAGGCACCCGCCAGAGGGCGTTCCCATGGAAAGAAGTTGCTGCAGGTGCAAAGCCTTAAGCCATTCAAGTGCCGGGTCTGTTGGGGGAACTGTGTGGCTTGGAGCCGGTTCACGAGAAGCTGGTGAGTCTGATGGTAACGGGGAGCTAACCCCTGGGGGCCAGGGTGTTTTCAATGCCACCGTGTAACCAGTGCATCGTTATGTGCCAGCACTGCGTTCAGTGCGTTTCACACAGGGCACGGTTTAATCCTCACGACGACACAGTGCAATGGGTATTCTCACCCTCTCACGGGCGAGGACGCTGGAGGCTCCCGGAGGCAGACACAGGTGGGGCCGAGGTCTGGCCTCAACCCCGACTTCCCGGTTCCCCGGCCTGTGCCCCCAGCCACCGTGATGCTGAAGGAAAGACACACCCGGGTTTCAAGGAATGGGCTTTGGGAGGATGCTGGCCGTAGCCGGCAGGGCCGGTGGCCTTGGGTGAAGAAAGGCGCGGCCGGCCAGGGAAATTGGATAATAAAGAGAACGTTGCAAAAAAATTTTTTTTTCTCCAACTTGACAAAATGGAGTTAAAGTTCATCCAGCAGAGTCAGCAAAACTCTAAAACACAAGAGTCTTGATGGGGCCCAGTCCAACCCGAAGGTGACATGCGCGGTAGGGCAGATTTTTGGGGGGGACCCGCTTACCCTGTCCAGGGGGCAGCTCAGGCGGGAAGCCGCCAGGTCCAGGCACATGACGGCCCTGCTGGTCTCGGTGGTGCGCGCGGACAGGCCCCCACACTTGAGCCGCGACAGCCGCAGGTGCTCCTCCGCTTTCCTGGGCACAAGGGCGACAGACCCCTGAACACTCTGCTCCACGTTTGTCCGACACGGGGGTAGGCAGGGCGGGCTTGGGTTCGAGCCCGGCCCGTCTCCCCTGCAAGTCCACGTGGGGCCGGGGCGACGCACGTCCCTTGGGGAGGACGGGGCGCGCCGGCTGCAGACACCACGGCTGCAGACACCTGCTCGGTGGGCGCGCGTGGCAGCGAGCACTTGCTTCCCTAACCGGTGTCAAGGGGACACCGCGCCGCGGGTGCAGGCCCTGCACCTGGAGAGCGGCGGCTGTGGATGAAACCGAGTTCGGGAGGTCTCCCTCCAAACCCCCGCCCCCCCCTACCTGCCTGCCCCGTCCCGCCCCTTCCGGTCCGCTGTCCACACTTCGGCCACCGGCCTCCCGTCTCCCCCCCGATCCCGCCCGCCCTCCCCATCAGGGCTCTGGCGCTGGCCGCTCTGCTCCGGCCCCTCCTGTCACTCGGGTCTCAGCCCAAATGACACCCACCCCCGGCCCGGCCCCGGCCCCGCGGTCCGGCTGTCACCCTGCTGGGTCTTGTCCGTAGTTCCTGCCAACACCGTGGGGCCCGTGCCCCGTCGGTCGGCTTCGCCGCGGCAAAGAGACCCCCGAGAAGCACGTGAGGAACGACCGAAGCTCCCCGCCCCCCGCCGCCGCGCACCCAGGGGGCCAGCAGCTCCGGGGGGTCCACAGTGGCTCCTCCACACCTCCTCCAGGCGGCTGCCGGCCCACGTCCTGCGGGAAAGGGGCACGGCTCGCCCGGGGAGGGACCCGGCCGCTGCGGCGTGCGCGGCCGGACTCACCTCAGCACATCGGGCTCGGAGACGCCCAGGCGCCGCGCTAGACGCGGGAGCAGCCCCGACTCCATGCCACCGACGACAAGGACCCGCGCGCACAGCGCGGAGGAGACGAAACCCGCGCGCGGACGCCGCGCCCGCCAGTGGCGGCCAGGCCCCACCCTCCTGCCGCGCCCGGATTGGTTGGGACGGAACGTGAGACCGCCCCGCACACCAATCTTGGCCTTCCTTCTGCGCATGCGCACCCCGATGGCACGCGCCAAAGCGGACCGACGTGGATGAGCGGCTCCCACGCCTTCCATTCGTCTGTTCTTCACAAACTCCAGACAGGCTCCCTTTCCCGCTGGCTTTCTCCTTCCTGCTCCGAGCGAGTCCCCGCCTCCCCACCTCTCCGCCCCGCCCCGCCCTCTCCCACACCGTGAACAGACTGGCTGGCGCCTCGGTCCGTCAATCCAGTACTCTGGGGCAAGGGCCAATAAATACGCGAGACTTAGGCTCCTAGAAGCGGACCAATCGAGGAGCCTCCTGCAGGCCCGGGGGCGGGGCTAGAGAGGGCGGGGCCTGGGGGCCTTGGCGTCACCTGACCGCGGCTGGCTCAGCGCGCGGAGGCTGCTGAGTGCTGCAGGTCCCGGGGCGTCGCCATGGTGAGTGCCGAGGGGCGGCGGGCCCCGGCGGCCCCCCTCCCAGCTCGGGCGCTCGCCCGTCGCCCTGGAGCGCTGCGGGCGCAGTTGGGGCCCCGCCGCCGGGTCGCGGCTCCGACCAGCCCGGCGTGGCCTGCGGGGTGCGGGACAGGCCGGGGAAGGCCGCAGGCTTTTTTTTTGAGAATCCCGGCCCCAGTGATCCTCCTGATGGTGGCTCCCCTCGGGGTATTCTAGCCCAGCCACCATAAGGAACTTTTAAATTCTATGTTTCTTTTTTAATCCATGACAAGCTCGTCGGTGGAATTTTTTTTTAAGGGGTTGGTTGGGGTGT